TGGCTTTATTTATAATAGATCTACTTATAATCCTTTGGGTATGGCTGGCCGTGGTGGCTCATGCCTATAATCCCAGCACTTTGGGAGGCAAGGCTGGTGGAACACGAGGTCAAGAGATCAAGACCATCCTGATCAACCAGGTGAAACCCTGTCGCTACTAAAAATACAAAAATTAGCTGGGCATGGTGGTGCGTGCCTGTAGTCCCAGCTACTCGGGAGGCTGAGGCAGGAGAATTGCTTGAACCCAGAAGGTGGAGGTTGTGGTGAGCCAAGATCATGCCATTGCACTCCAGTCTGGGTAACAACAGCGAAACTCGGTCTCAAAAAAATAAAAAACAAAAAAATCCTTTGGGTATATACCCAGTAATGGCATTGCTGGGTTAAATGGTATTTCTATTTCTAGATCCTTGAGGAATCACCACACTGTCACATGCACACATATGTTCATTGCAGCACTGTTTACAATAGCAAAGATGTGGAACCAAAGCAAATGCCCATCAACCATAGACTGGATAAAGAAAATCTGGCACATATACACCATGGAATATTACGCAGCCATAAAAAATGAGTTCATGTCCTTTGCAAGGACATTAATGAATCTGAAAATCATCATTCTCAGCAAACTGACACAAGAACAGAAAACTAAACACCGCATGTTCTCACTGATAAGTAACTGTTGAACAATGAGAACACATGGACACAAGGAGGGGAACATCACATGCTGGGGTCTGTTGAGGGGTGGGGGGCTAGGGGAGGGATAGCAGGGGGTGGGGAGCTTGGGGAGTGATAACATTAGGAGAAATACCTAATGTAGGTGATGGGGGATGGAGGCAGCAAACCACCAAGGCATGTGTATACCTATGTAACAATCCTGCAAGACCTAAACATGTACCTCAGAGCTTAAAGTAAATTTTTTTTAAAAAAGAATACTAAAAAACAAACAAACAAAAAAGGCTTTATTTTCATAAATAAAACCATAAATTAAAGGCATAAATATTATCTATGTTAATAATGATCAGTGGCTTTAATCATGAAAGCAAAAGTGAAAAATAAACTGATAAGTGAGCCAGGCTAAAATAATTCAGTATAATATTTTAAGATTAGAAATATGGTGCAGTTATTTTCTAAGAATTACCTCATCTTATCAAATTAAAATAGTAACTGAACTAAAATAACATGACATTGTCATCAATGCTCTGATTATTTCTGAAGCATGTAATAGCTAAGATTGGACAACACCAAAAATGGGTGAAGGATACGAACAGACACTTTTCAAAAGAAGACATACATGAGGGCAACAAACATGAAAAAATGCTCATCATCACTGATTATTAGAGAAATGCCAATCAAAACCACATTGAGATACCACCTCATGTCAGTTAGAATGTCAATCATTAAAAAAATCTGTAGACAACAGATGTTGAAGAGGACGTGGAGAAATATGAACACTTTCACACCGTTGGTGGGAGTGTAAACTAGTTCAACCATTGTGGAAGACAGTGTGGCAATTCCTCAAGGACCTAGAAATAGAAATTCCATTTGACCCATTTATAATCCAAAGGATTATAAATCATTCTGTTATAAAAACACATGTACACATATGTTCATAGTGGCAGTGTTTAAAATAGCAAAGATCTGGAACCAACCCAAATGCCCATCGATGATAGACTGGACAAGGAAAATGTGGCACATATATACTATGGAATACTATGCAGCCATAAAAAATGATGAGTTCGTGTCCTTTGTAGGGACATGGATGAATCTGGAAACCATCATTCTCAGCAAACTGACACAAGAACTGAAAATCAAACACCACATGTTCTCACTCATAGGTGGATGTTGAACAATGAGAACACAAGGACACAGGGAGAGGAGCATATCACACTTGGGTCTGTTGTGGGGGCCAAGGAAGGGACAGCAGAGGGGTGGGGAGGTCGGGGAGGGATAACATGGGGAGAAACGCCAGATGTAGGTGACAGGGGGATGGAGGCAGCAAACCACATTGCCATCTGTGTACCTATGCAACAATCCTGCATGATCTTCACATGTACCCCAGAAACTAAAGTATCATTTAAAAAAAAAGAAAAAAAAAGACTGGACAAAAATGAATGCCCATTATTAAAGTGAAATAAATAATAATATATATCTTCTTGATATGTTTAATCAAAAACATTGAGAAAGTAATTGTAATAAAAATGTCTCCATCCTTAAAGGCATGCTCAACCCTAACTCTCAGGTATGAACATCAAGAATAAATTACATTAAAAGTCAACTGTCCATATTAAACATTAAAAATGTTGTGCCCCATTAGGATATATAAAAAGCTTAAATTTTAGTAAAAGAAAGGGACCATAATGAATGAGCATATATAATTTTTGAATGTTTGACTTTAATTGTTAACATTTTTAAAGACATGTTATAATTTTTTACTAAGCATTATAGTTAAGCAAAATATCCAGTGTTTCCATCGTTTGTTTTTAAACTGTGGCTTTGGCAAGGTAAGTTGGAAAACATCTTAATTTTAATGACCCAAAAGGAGAGATTTGGATGTATGGTATAGATTCAAGTGCTTATCACATGGATCATGGTTTCGTTTTATTAAAAATATCATAGACTAAAACTTTACATAGGGTGAAATCGCAGAGAATAAGAATCAAAGGAGTAACTACAAATTGAGGTTTTTGGGAGGGTGAGGCAGGAGAATTGCTTGAACCTGGGAGGTGGGGGTTGCAGTGACCCGAGATTGTGCCATTGCACTCCAGCCTGGGTGACAGAGTGAGACTCTGTCTCAAAAAAAAAAAAAAAATTGAGGTTTTACATATTTGAGACCTAACGAACAACTGTGTACTTTTGTCAACAGTAAGTATTTTAAGTAATTTTACTACTAGTTTCAGTAGGAATACAATTTCCTAATATAGGTATTTAATATTTTATTCAATATTTTAATATATTAATCTTTAGTAGAATATATGCTTCAATTTTGTGAGGATATGTGGTTATTTCCTTGTACAGTGGTAAACTAAACAATGTGTAAAGAGACCACAGGTCACTAGATTAGAAACAATTGTTTTCTGCTCTTAGTATTAAGATCACTTATTTTCTATTCTTTGTTATTTAGCAGCATCTACTAAAAAATCTGTTTTAAATCCCTAGTTTCCAGTGGAATCGCTTGAACCCAGGAGGCAGAGGTTGCAGTGAGCCGAGATCGTGCCACTGCACTCCAGCCTGGCAACAGAGCAAGACTCGCTCTCAAAACAAAACAAAACAAAACACAAAAAAGCCAAGTTTCAGGCCCCACTTCAGAGGCACTGAATCAGAAACTCCGGGGGTGGCATCCAGCAAGCTGTGGTTTAACCAGCCCTCCAGGTGAATCAGATGCCCACTCAAGAAAGGGTGAGAACCACTGTTCTAGTCTGACGTCTTCCAAGAGTGTGTGGGAAGATCAAAGAAAAATCAGGTCACAGGGCTTTGTGGAGAACAAACAAATACATAAATCAAGGACTCTATAAGCATAATTTAATAAATAGACTGACGAGTGTTTTTAACTTATTTTTCTATTTCCTCCTTACTTTGTACATGCATTTTGAGATAATTTCAGCAATGTCAGCAAGCTTGGTGGCATAGTTCAAGCTGTGAAGGTTCAATAAATAGGTCGGTAAACATTGCAAATCAACACAGCTTTTGATGAAATGTCAAGCAAGACGGAGCTTAGCTATATTCGGCTCAGCTTGAACTCATAAACCATTAACTGGCCTCTGTACTTCCAGGACAATCTGATGAATAAATACAGGCATAAATTTTTTTAAATATATTTATAAAGAGATTAGTAAAAAGCAATCTATAAGTGAGAAATGACAACCACTTAGTTCAGACAAAATGAGAGAGAAGACTTGCAAAAAGGTAACTTTTCTTACAAATCAAGTTATGGGAAAATTTGAGATCCAAATAGACTTTTAACTTTGGATTGAGTTTATTCTCAATACACGTTTTTAATTTAAAGAGGTACAGTTTATCCTAACTCTTTTAGCTCACCCCCTAAAAAAAAACTAGCTGTCTTCCTAATGATAGAAAAAACTTGTCCAAGTCAGAAGCTCTTTGGAATTTTAATAAAGGTTACATAACTTAGAAATTAATATACTTTGAATATAACCATTGTATATATTGGCACAAGGATACATGCTAATTTAGAATTTTAGTATATTCTATAATTTTAAAGAATAACCTGATAAATCACTACACCTCTTCACTTTATTTAGAAGCTAGCATTTAGTAATAAATGTTTAACCTCTAAAATTATTCTGAGATATTTCAGATAATTTGGCAGTCTGGAATTACTGTTTACGATTGGCCCTGTTTGCTTTCTCATAAGTTGTGCTTGTCTGAACATGTCTAAATTACTATTCACAAGGATCCTTATTTCCCTTTTCTTTGATTAAAATCTTCTTAAAAATGTATATGGGTATCTATGTATATATATACACATATACATATTTATATGTACATATATGTATAAATATCCCATATATATATAAAACACAGGTTTTTCTATTGTTAATATAAAAATCCCTCTCATTCATTTTCTCCTGAGTTTATGAATGTAGTCTACAATGTTAGAAATTTAATTTGAGGTAGAAATATTATCTGTTTATGGATTAAGATCTGCATGTTTTCTTTTCTTCATACTAGAAATAATTTTAGATACCTGAAGACAAAGTTCATTAAAGCCACAGCCCAAAAAGTAGAAGATGGGTTCCTTCTCATTTTAGTGATTTGCATTATCCTATAGTTTATTGATATCAAACCCCCTTTTTCCCTTCCTCACAACAAAAGCCCCAATTTAACTTTTATAGAAAGGCATATGGAATAGGAGTAATCCAAATATATCCCAGGGGTTGCAAACTGACCAGAAGAGTCACCTTTAGGGAAGCCTCCTTCTGAATGCTTGTGGAATTTATCATTCTTCTGAATGGCTGTGGAATTTATCTGCAGCTTTTACTCACCAGATGAGACCTCAGACATTTCAAATTCTGCGGAGGCTGGCTACACCTTCATAGGAAAGCTTTTGCTGATTTCCCTGTTGGTACTTTTCTCTTACACATTCTATGAGGTATGATAAACCTGGAGGTAGAGTCATAGCCAAGCACAGATAAAGCAGGCACATAATCTCTGACCAGCCCCACAAAAGCAGACAAACACACAATCTTTTTGCACCTGTTTCTTCCACTCCGGTTGCCGTGAATAGTGAGGTGTTCTTCACAGATTCAGCTTCACAGACAGCATTTTGCAAACACTCCCCTCTTACAGCAATGGTTTCTTCCCTCACAGGCTCAATCTACCTGATTACGTTCCCTTCTAATCAGTAACCTCAGTTCCTCTAGAAATAACTGTGTCGTCTGCTTTATATAGGATTTATCTGAGTCTGAAGCATAAACTGGAAAGTAGAATTAGAGGAACTGATTATTATGAAGACACCTGTATTTTTGTCTAGTATTCACGAGAACTCGACAGGGCACTCATTTATGCGAACTGGTGTTAGTGAAAAAAAAGAAGAAGCAGAGAAGGAAGCATAAAGAAGAGACTGGACTTAGAAAGTTGTGCACCTGTGTGATGCTAGGAGCAGAAAATAACTCTAAAAACGCCCAGTGCTGCTCAAAACACATTTGAACTTCCTAGGAAAACCAAAAGTGCTTGACATACAAATATCTTCCTCCAGATACATTTTTAAAAATATATTTTAAAATCTGAAACCATCTTAACCTCCGTGTAAGCCACAATGCAGAAGTTAATTCTTAAAGCAAATGAAGATTAAAAATGAAACTTCATCCATTTAAACCCTGATTTTTGTTTTATAAAAGAGAAATAAAAGGAATAATCTGTATAACTTACTTAAAACTGTATTTGAAGTTAAACCTTGAATCCTGCTTCTTGAAAAAACAGAATTGTGTCAGGCTTGACTAATGACTGTTTACTCAGAGCATAAGATTGAAGTGGATTTTCAGATTAAAAATAAAACTCTTAAGTATGTCAATCCTCATCTGATCAAAGCACATAAACTAATTTTTTTCAAGGGCTTCATTAACAATGTACCCAAGTAGAGCTGAAGTTCTTGGTTTTCTCTAGAGTAAATTGTTAAAATGATTGAGGTTCATGTAAAAGAAACCCAGAGTTATAGTTAGGGTTTGCTTTTTTTTTTAATTTAGTAGATCCAGTACCGGGCAAACAGTACGTGATCAATACATGTTTGTTTAATGCAACCAAAAGCATACAATATGAAGTGTCATTATCATTGCTACTGATATTTTTAAAAAGCCAAGTTCTATACTTATTTCGTTTTTACATAAGTCACAATTTTACAAGGCTCCAAACAACAACACACACACAAAAAAAACTAGTCTTGTTTTCTTTAATATAAAATATTTGGCAATTATAAACATGTACTGTGCTGGCAGTAAGTTAAAATGTGACTGATTTTTTTTTCTCCATTCTCTACTCTCAATTTTCAGATGCAGAAATTTCATTTGGAGAGAACAGGAGGTGTTGGTGGGAAAAATCTCATTAATCGTACCGTATTCCCTTGTCTACAAAAAGTACTGCATCCAAATTACAGAAGAACTAAAAAAAAACCCTGGTAGCATGAGTATATAATTAGCAGTGTTGCTAAGTGAATGGAAATGGAGGTTGCCTAACTTAATTAACTGTAATCATTACTCATTGTCATACTGCTTAGAAAGATTAGCTGAGGGTATTTCTCCTGTGGTAGTACTTTAGGCATTTCTTAAATGTGTAAACAATGATACTATAAAGAAAGAATTGTCATGCCCTTTCAGTAAGATAGAAACATTTCTGAACAAGTAAGTTCCGTGTCTTAGCTCAAGGGGGTCAAAACAGGAACAATGAGAAAATATTTCTTTGGGCCAAAGTTAGAGAAATTTTAAAAAGTAATTAATTACACAAGTTTCTGGCTTGAGGAGGAAAAAAGGAACACCATATATGACTTTTTGTAAAGAAATTAGCTCTTGGCCAGGGAGGAAATAAATAACAAAGTAAGATCTAAAGGGAAAAATTAAGGATAACACAGTATGAGTATATAGTACTGTCTGATGAGGAGTTGGCAACAGTGCAAGATTCCACAATGCACCTTCAAGGATACTGTAGCTAAGGTTGCTTTCTGATGATTTATCTTTTTAGTAGAAGACACTTGCATCTGGGAACATTTGTTCTTTTGAATTAATAAACATCACCTCATACCTAAAAGGAACTTTTATAAATATCAGAAAAACAGGAATGCCTGTGATGACGATCATTGGTGGGGCTTGGCCTCATTAGCTCTGGGGTCACAGGTACAAAAAAGTTTCACTGGGACTGTCTTCTAATAGAGACTTCATATTTAATGAAGATTTTCACTGTTCTGGGAATTAAACAAAGAGTTTCAGGAATTGCATTCAAGAATCTTCTCAGCAAAACTGTAATATTGGTAATGTTATCTCTCAAACTCATTTTACAGGTGGGGAGACTGGAGCTCAGAGAGGTTTTTCTGAGTCATCCAACTAACTAGAAATGCTTAAGAATACAGCTCTACCTGACTCCCTAAACAAGTGTGTCTCAAGAGTTAATGGACATATACGTCACCTGGGTAGCTTGGTAAAATACGGGTTCTGATTCAGTAATTTTAGGTGGGACCTGAGATTCTGCATTTCTAATAAGCTCCCTGGTGCTGCTGTGGCTGCTGCTGTTGGTGGCCTTTGGACAATACATCGGGTAGCGAGGCCCCTAGAGCAGTGGTTCTCAAACTTTGCTGATATTAGAATCCCCTGAAGAACTTATTTAAGAATAAAACCAATGCCCAAACTGTGCTTCCTATTAATGAAATCAGAGTCTCTAGATAAGAGACTCAAGCAATTCTAATGTACAGCCAAGTGAAGAGCTCATTATAAACACAGAGACCTATGCTCATTAAAGCAGCCATAGGATTTAGGCCTTTGCATGTTTAGGTAGACCCCCAGGTGATTCTGTTATCCAACAGTTTGAGAACCAATTTCTAGACCATGCTCTTTCAAATCAATCAGACCAAGCCCTAAAGACAACCTTACCATTCAGGCAACAAAGCTGTGAGTAGGAGATTGTTTTCATGCATGTCCTCAGGGTTCTTTGGTTTGATAAGATATCCTCCAAGCTAAAAATTCATGAGGGTCTCAAACCACCGCATCCCCAATTACAGACTTTTTAAAAAATCTCTTTTGTTAGTATCAGTGTACTCATTTTATACTTAAACTGTGTGTGGGTTTTTATTCCTCTTGTTAGTTGCACATTTAATCTATTATATCGTCAGTATTTCAGTGGAAAGTATATCCATGCTGTAAGACATTTGATATTTGCCCAGGGTAGCTGCATAATGAAAAGGAATTGATTTTGAAAAAGAACCTAATGGTAATCTGAAATGAATAGACAAAATCATCCCTAAGCTCAGTAACAACTGCAGCACAATATATCACCCTATAGTTAAAACCTAGTTCATAAATAATCCTCAACTCTTCTTAAAGGGCTTGTGAAGATGAGGGTGGTTTTGAGAAGTGACACATTTTGGCTTCAGGGGAGTTTTAGCCTAACTGCTGCCAGATTATATCTTCTTAAACATGTTTGTTGGCAGTGAAGGAAAGATGTTTGATCATGTTAGAAATGTAATTAATGGGGTCAAAATTTTACTTCCTTACAGCTCCTAAGAGCACATACTTCCAGAAAGCTCTTGGATATCTCCCTTAATGTTATCTAGGATTGCCCAGCTATTCCTTTAAATGAGCACGACTGGGGTCACTCACTCCTTATGGCTCTGAGCATTGCACCTTGCACAAAGGTGCTGGAGTATCATACCCACATTCCCCTCAGCCATCCATGTGATCCCAGAATAAAGCAGTGTCAGACTGAAAAAAAAAAAGTGTGCTATCTTTCAAAATTGGCTATTCTGTGGGTTTGGGAAGGGAGGAGGATCCCTCTTTGTTTAATTTTCAAAGAGTACCACATAAGCTAGGAGCAGTCCTGAAGACAACAAAGAATAATAAAAAATGTTTGGCATTTCAGTTGGAAGGCATTAAGAGCGAATTTTGTGACGTAGGGCAATTTTTTTAAACTTTTAGCATCACCAGGCCTTCCATCTATAAAATAGCATGGCAACATACCATAGAGAGTTAACACTCAGGCTTGACGTCAAAGCAGTTTAACTAGGGCTTGAATTCCAGGTCTCCTATGTACTGGCTGTGTAATCTTGGCATGTTATGTTACTTATATCACATATTATCTGTAAAATGGGGATAACATGAATTCCAGCCTCCTGAGGCTATCGTTAGGTTCCACTACGATAGGGTGTTTCACACAATTCCAGATACAGAGTTAGTGCTAAATAAGTAGTAGCTACTATTTATCAATAACAATAACAAGGTGATAATCACTCATATTTCCCATGGTTTGGGAGGAAATTTAATCAAATGATGCATACAGAATAAGCCTTTGAAGTTAAAAACACCATAATGGTGTTGAAGATGGGTTTTCTTCCTTTTAATAATATGTTTGCCATATCTTTGATCTTAAAGAAATAGGGATGGTAAAAAAAAAAAAAAAAAAAAAAAGAAAAAAGAAAAAAAAGTAGTAGGGCCATCAAAGATCTGGTTACAATAATTGTTCTGAGAGTCTAGGCTCCTGTTCAGAGTTGGAACCAAACCTAGTACCTAGATATGGTAGTACAAACCTAAATACACAATGCATCAGGGACCAATGTAGGCTTCAAATACACAGATTTAGAACTAGAACTTCAATAACCTGGTGATGTGCTGAATAAATTGGAAGTCATTCCATTAAATCTTATCTCTAGACATCTTATTCCCGAAAATCACAGTTTTTAAAAATGACCATCTTGAAAATCGCGTTTCCTGGACTTGTCTCTAAGTAGCAGTAAGCTACCCATCTCCTATTACAAAAAGAAAACTGAGACCAGCTTGTAAACACATTATCCAATACAGTGCCTTAAAGCGCAAGCAGGGAGGGATTATTTCTCAATGGAAGTCAATTTAAAATAAGAAGTTACAGAGCTTTCTCAATAAAGAGTAAAGGATCCTAGCCATAATTGTTCTGCAGTAACTTTGGAAAGGTATACTTTTATTCAAACTGTGCTGATTTTGGCTTCTCTCCTAGGGAGGAACTTTGTTTCAGTAACTAACTTCATGAAAAGCTAAATTCTTTGCAGCTCTTCAGCCAGCAGCATTTTTCCAGTTTCTACAATCGCATCACTGTGGTGAGTGTGTGTCTCTTTACTTATGATTTTAAGCACAATTCTTCATGGTCCATTTATTTTTGAATAGTGTTCTTTTATTTTGATTGCAGGTCTTTCCCATAGGGTTACAGCAAGTTTGCAGAAAAATCAGACAATAAAACACGCACTCAATATCGTAAGAGTATTTGCTTTCAAAGTCAGACAGAATGAAAATCTGTCTGGTTGGTTGTTGTAGATGATTAGTGTTAATTTTTGTACCTGATGACCAAAAATCATTTTAGAATTCAATATAAGGAAATTCTGCACAGAAATCTTACAACAAGGAATATCTCTAAATGTTAAGTTTTTATATAAACGTGAACATCTAGAAGAACTTCAGCCAACTTGGGAGCTATTATTTTACACAGCCTCCTTCATCAAACGGAGCTCAGAACTCCCCTCTGTTAGCTTTAAGCTTTTCTCAATGAACTGAGTAATGGAATCTTGAGGGACACCTTTAAATCCAGCAGTAGAAGCAAAAACCTTCCCCACTGATAAGCAAAAGAATATTTCTGGCAACAAACCCCATCAACTATAGGAGGTATATCTCTAACTCAGTCAGTCTTCAATTAAATCCAAGTCAGTAAACCCTGAAGGCAACAACAAGGGCTTTGAGTAAAATAATCTGATCTACTTAACACTTGGCCCTGAGATTATTTGAAAATTTCCTAGAACATTCAAAATCTCACAGTGACCACAGTTAAAAATGATGTATTATAGATTTCAAAATTGCTAAAAGAATAGATTTTTAATGTTCTCACTACAAAAAAATGATAAGCTAGTGAGGTGACAGAGATGTTAATCAGCTCGACTGACTCTTTCTACAATGTATACATAGATCAAAAACATCACGTTGTATCTGGTAAATATTTCCAACTATTATTTGTCAATTAAGAATAAATAAATCGATTTTTTAAAACACTTCAATACTTTCAAAACCTGGAAACAACTATTTGGCAAGCCCATTAATTTATAACTGGGACTGTAAACCAACAGAACTAATTGTTCCACTTAAAATCAGCATTTGCTTAATGGCACACCCATGTATTACATCTCCTATACAAGAATGACATATAATATATGGTATTTAGTATCAAAAAATTTCTAGAAATGATAAAATAAGTCGAATTCGGTAGGTATAGTCATGTTCCAAATCCCCATATATCTATAATGCTGCCACCACATATATCTTCTTAAAACTCTAGTTTCTTCATATCACCTACCCTCATTCTTACAACCTAAACTCTTGATAAGACAGTTTTATCCATTGTACAAACTTCATCATCTGGCTTTCATTTCTCAACATACTAAACTGGCTCCTACTGAAATTCACTATTCAACAGGGTTCTGTCTCTATTATATCATAAGATATTTAAAAATAGAAAGATTGGCTTTTTTTAAAATAGCTTTCTAGTCCCTTGTGCTTCCTAGCACTGTTCCTGGAATATAGTTACCACAAAGCAAACATCTACTTCATGCTTCACATTGATATATACCCCACTAATACCTAACACATGTTATTGAAACAAATGCTAGTCTCTAAATAATGGTACATCTGCTCAAAGATTTTATAAAATATGCTAGATCATTTCTATTGTGAAAAATTAGAAGCCAACTAAATATTCATGAAATAGAAATGAAAACAATCTGGTACATCCTATTAATATATTTATAGGCAGACAATAGAAAGTCATATTCTTATGGAATATTTAGCTAGGTTGGAAAACCATATGATATATTAAGTAAATTAAGCATCCTCCAAAACTATGTGTATGTTAAAATAATAAAATGTATTATTCTTAGTGGTGAAAAACTTGGGCTCTGGAGACTGAATGTCTGGTTTAGAATTCAGGCTCCATTTTATAATGGCATTGTGACCCTGAACAAGTTAATGCATCTTGTTATTGAACCAGTTTTCTCATTTTAAAAATGGTCTAATAACAGTACTTATATCATAAAATTATTTTCAGGCATAAATGGATAATATTTAACATATAAGGTAATAGAAGCATGGATACGTACTAAGAGCTAGTAAACATTAGCTATCATTATACAGTTCTCAATAGAAATGTCTCTGCCAAACAGGTGACATTGGTTATTCCTGAATAGCAAAATTATGGGCAACTATTGCCTTCCTTGTGTTTTTCTGTAGTCTACTTTTGGCAGTGAGTGCATATTATTTTGTATTATAAAAACTCGGGCTGGGTTTGGTGGCTCATACCTGTAATCCCAGCACTTTGGAAGGCCAAGGCCACCGGATTGCTTGAGCCCAGGAGTTGAAGACCAGCCTGAGCAACATAGCTAGACCTTGTGTCTACACATAATTATTTTAAAAATCAACCAGGCATGGTGGCATGCACCTGTGGTCTGGGAGGGCAAGATGCAGAGAGCTATGATTAAGCCAATGCCCTTCAGCCTGTGTGGCAGAGTGAGACCCCACCTCAAAAAAATAAAAACAGATTTCTGTAAAAATATGCCAACTATTGACTGAATATCACATTGGTAAGATGCATACATAGTTAATGGAACAATGCTGGGGTACTAGATCGAAGAAGTATTGTCATCACAAGTAGCAAGCTGCCTGTAAAATGGTAGACATCACTCTCCCAAAATGCTGTATTTCATTAGTGCTATGGGTTGAATATTTGTGTCTCCCCAGAACTCATATGTTGAAACGTAATTCCCAATACCACAGTATTAAGAGGCAGACTTTTAACAAGGTGATTAGGCCATATAAGCAGAGCCTTCATGAATGGGATTAGTGACCTTATAAAAGAGACCAAGGGAACTTGTTTGCCTTCCATTATGTGAGAGTAAAGAAAGAAGGCACCATCTGTGAAGCAGGCAGAACCCTTATCAGACACCAAATCTTCCAGCATCTTGATCCTGGTCTTCTGGCCCGCAGAAACAGTTCTGCAGCACTAAATGTTAGTTGTTTATAAGTTACACAGTCTATGATATTATTATTATAGCAGGTCAAAGGAACTAAGACAATTAGGAATAAGTACCAAGAATTACCATCATTATATATGAAGTTAAAAATTATAGAAAAGATATTTCTACAGAGTTATTTTTAAGTGGTATAAGTTTAATATATGTAAATAAATATACAAGTTTAGTATATATATTATATAAGTTAAAAAAATATATCCGTATATTAATATTTATCACAAAAAGGTACCTCTGTGAAAATATCTTTTCTATACTTTTTAACCTCATCATTTATTGAATTGGTTATAGAGGGAGATGGTTCCTTCCTTCCTTAAAGTTCATAGAAATAGGCAAATGCCATCTTTTGGGGGCTCTCCCAAGACTATTACAATAAAATGGGGTGTAACGGGCCGGGCGCGGTGGCTCACGCCTGTAATCCCAGCACTTTGGGAGGCCGAGACAGGTGGATCACGAGGTCAAGAGATTGAGACCATCCAGGTCAACATGGTGAAACCCCGTCTCTACTAAAAATAAGAAAAATTAGCTGGGCATGGTGGCGCGTGCCTGTAATCCCAGCTACTCAGGAGGCTGAGGCAGGAGAATTGCCTGAACCCAGGAGGCGGAGGTTGCGGTGAGCCGAGATCGCGCCATTGCACTCCAGCCTGGGTAACAAGAGCGAAACTCCGTCTCAAAAAAAAAAAAAAAAAAAATGGGGTGTAACAAGATAAATAAAACACACTTAGGCAAGCTGTGCTATGATTTCCAACTGCTTTAACTTGGCATGAGAACTATTAGTGTAACAGAATGAGATACTAAGAACACATCATCAGAAGCACTTAAGCATAAATGTTCTCTTTTTATACTGGTTGGGGGAGGATACGAGAGGAGAAATGAGTAAAAATGAGGTTTCAGCTTGTAGTTTCACTAGAAACAGAAAAATTAAAAAGTGAAATGTGAGACAATAGAAAGTTTCATGTAGTTTAGTAGCACTGCAACCATCAATTATTATTCTAAGATTTTTGGTAAAGCTTCCTTTTACATCCAAGAAGCCCAAGTGAAATAACTATGTTCTTCCATTTAGTCATAGCATTTCTTTTTTTATTTTTATGAGCTCCTTCTTCTGCTGAGTAATAACTATTTCAGCACAAAATATTGTGCCTTATACCTCTTTCTAACAGCGCCTGTATACGGTAAGCATTCAACAATTGCTTGATGAATAATATGCATTCAGCAAGTGAGGCAAAAAAGAAATGACACTTTTTTGGAATGAACTAAGAGAGACAAAGGACTGAAAAAGTGTAGACATGAGGAAGAAGAGAAATAGAATGAAG